ACAAGGATTGAATTCCGAGTAAATTTACTTAATAAATATAGATAACTCATTCGGTTGCATCCTTGCTTTTCGTTCTTAATTATGAATTATATTCGTAAAACAGTTGGTTTATCAATTTTGACATAAGATGTTGGTATTTTTAAATATACTTAAACGTTTATTAGTTACTTTTTCAGAATCATACTATTTTCCTTCCTCCCTTGCCAAATAGGGAAGATAATGGTCAGGTCTCTTGTCCAGCGGGGCAATAAACTCGGTTAGGACCATTTAAAAAAACTGACCCAGACAATAATCCTAAATATAGAAACCGGTTTTTTATTATTTCTTTTGTTATTTTAAAAATATTTTCCTTTTTGCCTAATTTGAATTTTGTTTATCGGCACTATAATTCAAATTTCTTCTTTGACAAAATTATGACTTTTATATTGAGAAATAATAATGAACTAAAAATTAAAAAAAAACTAAAATAACTCTACTAGAAAAGTAGCATAATTATCTAAAAAATACAAAAAAAATAGGTAAAAAAACAAAAATTATATCAATTGAATTAGTAAAGCAAACTTAAATGTTTTATTATACAAGATCAAACAGAGTATAAAGAATGTTTGACACAAATCATATTTGAGTTCTAATTCTAGCTACATATTTTCAATTTCGATGCACACCATACAAGATTATAATTTTTAAAAAGGTATTTTAATGTATCTTGACAAATATGTATCTGTAAAATTTACGAAAAAGAAAATAACGATAGCAGAATTTATCAAAGAAAAGAAACATGGAATATTTCCCATATATAAAATTATTAATATTATAAAAGTTTCAATAGCAGTCTTCTTTCCATAGAACCTCGCTAGACTTATTCTTCCTTCCTTATTACTTCTCATTTTACGCTATATTTCATCTTTATTTAAAGAAAAATATTGTATATTCTTAATTTTATAATAACAAATTTATCTTATTTTTAATTTTTTTTTTTAAATATAGTAGAAAAAAGTTTTAAAAAATCAAATATTTTTATGTGAAGTATATCGCCGCTGATGGCGATACCCTATAATTAATTTTCAATATTTTTTTTTAAAATTTATGCTATCTAGACAACGACGCGACTAGTTCATATATTAGCTAGAACGTATCTGTACGTTTTAATTCTATATACTAATTTAATTTCAAAATTATCAATTTATAATATTTTATCTAAAATCCTCGTAGAAGTAATCAGATAGAATTCAAATGTGCGTTTAAAAAGACGGAACAAATTGCATTTTATATTAGCAAACCTTTACTTCACAAAATATACAGACTACGCTTTATTTTTTTTAGACTTATGATTCGTTCATTTAAATGTGTATCAACGCAAAATCAGCTGATGATACGTCATAATTAGCGTATATAAATAACATGATTAAAATTTTATGAAAATTAAAAAAAAAATCAGTGTTTAATTTATTTATAAGCCAAAATTAGGCGTCACGATTCGATTAACAGAAACTTACAAAATGCATTTTAAAGAATGTATCGTCAATCCAGCCTAGTTTAATTGACTTTTAATAATTAACAGATGCAATCATATTTATAATTATAAGAGACATGAAAGGTCAAAATTTTAGGGCTCGGTCCTAAACCCGGCCCCGAGTTAAAAAAAATTCTTTTCAAGCCCGGTTCAGGGTTTCTTCTTAAATTTGGCCGGTGAGAATTATTTTTTGATCAATTTTTTCGGCCTACCACCGCTATTAAAATCTCGTCATTTCGAATAATTTTCGTATTTTGCAAAATATTTTCAACGAGAAATTTAAAATATATGAATATGGACCGGATTTTTATAATACTATTTTACAGATTGTGGGCTGAATACCGGATAAGGCCATTTCCAGGCAGAATGTTTTTCCAAGTGGTTTACTAGGAATGTTTATGGTAATTTTTTAGTCGAATTGATATTTTTGTAATATTTTTTTTAAAGAAAATTTGGTATAATAGAGTATAACAGGCGTCAGCTAATCGCCAATAAAAAATAAAAATTATTTATGTTCTAAGTTTTGACACTCATTTCTATTTAGCCTATATGCTTCTCTGACTTTTTAGGTTGTTTAGTGGAAGCCATATAACCGGAATCGAACTTTGGAAACACCCTTCCTTTATTCTTTGCTTGGAAATAAATAAAAATCATAGAAATAGGCTTAGGATAGATGTTTTGAAAAAATAATCAGAAATGACCATAGGTTTGTAGGTCTCTGATAATTACAAGTTTATAAAAAAAAATTATATATTTTTTATAATATATTAAATACAACAATAGTGCCGAAGTGAGGGATGAAACAGGGACCCTGTAGTGTTGTTAATTGGTTGGTTGTATAAAACCAGACCCGGGGTTTGGGTCTAAAAATCGACCAAACCAGCTCTGAGCACAGACCCGGGGTGAAAAACTATTATATTAATGGAGGGGTAATGGTATATTTCTAAGAATAATTTTTTTCTACGCTCGGCCTTTCAACTGTCAAAATATTAAATTTAGATAAAGCATGCTGATTGTTGATAATAATTATGGCAAAGTTTAAAAATAATGTGTTCAAGAGATAATTGACGATATTTATAACTAAGAAATGAAAAATAAATAAAATAAAACATTTGCAATTTATAAAAAAAATTAAATCAATTTATATAGTTTATTTAATTAAAGTTAAATGAATTTTTAAATAAATGTCTTATTTATTATAATTAATTTTACAAACAAAAATTTTTATCTCAACAATGGGTTTTATTTATTAAATCGTCACGCACAAGTGCAAGTCAAAAGCAAGACAATAAATTTAGTCGTTATAACTTATAACATATTTATTTATTTTAAATTATAGTTTAGAAAATTATGATTAAATTAAATATGTCTCCTGTTTTAAAATTTTTTTAGATCGTTTTCATATTGTTGAAGTTTGTGAAATAACTAATTGGGTTTACTAAGTATTATGAAATTCTCTATGATGCAAATTAAGTAAAAATTAAGATTTATCTATATTAATATTTAACGCCATCTAGATATATGTTTTTAAATTAATCAGAAATCTACAGAAGTACTATTGGAACGACCCGGGCCCGATTTGCAAAAAAAAATTTTTTTTTTTACTCCGGTCCGGATTTTTCTTGAAAATTTTTTTGGCCCGTGCCAGATTTTTGTAAAATATATTTTATTTATTTTTAGCAGAGTTGTTAAAGGATCTAGATACAAGTATCTAGATCCTGTATCTAGATATAAAAATGTGGTGTCTGTATCTAGATAGATTTTTGATTAAAATATCGGTATCTAGATATTATTTTAGACGATGTATCTGTATCTAGATCCATTTAAAAAGTATTTTTTAACAACTCTGATTTTTAGTATATTATAGCTATTAATGACTATTTAAAATAATCGGATTTAATATTCGGTTTTAAAATATACGGCTCGGTCCGACTCGGGTATTTTTTAAAAAAATTTGAGCCCAACCCGGGTATATTTAAAAAATATGGCCCGGTCCGAACTAAGGGTCTATGATCATATTTATTTTTTTATCATTCGATAATTGACAAAATTATATCTTATATATATAGTATAATTAAAAATAAATGGTTTTAAATTAATTAAAAATCATTATGGCCCGATCAAAAATTAGGCCCTGATTTTATTTTTTATCCCGCGGCTCGTAAAATAATTTTGGGAAGTTACATTTCGACTAAAACAGCAAAATAATTTTGTTTAAGTTGCTGGCTTCCCGTCGTAATAATTTAATATGAAGGATGAATTATTCCAGGCCAAAATTTATAAGACCGGATATATGTATGAATGTTGAATATATTTTATATTTTTCACTATGAGTTGCTCTATTTAAAGAAAAATAAAAATTTAAGCAACTTGAAGTTTTTATTCCTAAATTTTAACGCTAATTTGTATAATCTTTAGTAAGTATTGCTATTATTTTTTTTTAAAAAAGGGCAAGGATCTTCCTAGCAAGCCTAGAAAGTTCCAGTCGATTTTTTTCTAAAAGGTTAGTGCATCCTCTTCTGGGATATTATTTTGGCTGAGCAAAATATGACATTTGTTCTAGATTACTAATGTTGTTATAATCGTTGCTTGGGAAGGAATGCTTACGAATTTTAGCCATATAAGAACTGTATGTTCTCCCATTATTTTCAACTTGAATCTCATTCTGTGCATTTCTATCATGCTCTAAAAGTTTTAAATGTCTTATTAAAATTTGCATTGATGTCGTAGAATTCGAATATTCTGAAACAATTTAAAATCTGGGATCAAGTAGAGTCGCTAATATCTAATGTTTAAAATATAATTTTATTAATAAAAATATAAATAACTTGAAGTTCAGTAATGGGAAACCTATAGTCAAGCTTTTTTTCATATTTTCTTTTAAGCAAATACTATCTGAGTAATCAGATCTATAAATGGGTTTCTATTTTACTGCGAAATAATAGCTCTAAGTTTTTTGTCGATCCCTTTTGGGAGGAAAGAAATTCCACCGACTCTCGGAATGGATTTAATACTACGTAAAGCTCATCAATCATATCCCACTCATTTTTAAAGAGTTTTAAATATTGTTTTCCTATTTTATTTAGAACATTATTTATAAGAATTTTGTTTACACTGCGAACCCTTTCTAGCATAATTAATATGCTGTGCCAGCAGATAGGGCAATCTAATTTTAAAGTTTTTGAATTAATTAGATTGGTTGGTGCAATGCCATTCTTATTATCCGATACATCAGACATATCAAAATGGTCATCAAGCATTATATCTTCTCAACCTTTCCGATTAAGTGTTGGGGTCTTTGGTGGCTGTGAAGCTGTTTTACATCTTATAGAATACTAATAGAAATTCAATTAAAAATGACTTCCCTAATACTTGAAATACATTTTGGAATTCGTTCCTGAATTTCTCTTGTACCCTTTTCCCTGGTAATATTCAATTTTTTTAAAAAAAAAAAATAATTGTTTAATATTAGAAGTTTTTCATAAAATTTAATATTTAAAAAATTGACTAATTTTTTATTTTGCTATATTTGAGCAAACAAAAAACGTTTATTTTCATATCATTTCACAACCAATATAAAGAAAGATTCAATCAAAACTATACAAAAAAAATATATTAAATTTTTTTATATCAGATCTTTGAACGCGTTCCTCACAAAATCTTTCGTTTTCTTTCTGCCTTTCTCCTTTTTCCTGTCGGCATAGAGCCTATTACGATCGACGTTAGCTATTCTTCTTTCGGTCACCTCTACGACGTTACGTCGTTGAAGGCTTTTGTAAGAATCTAGCAGTAAATGGCCCTGAGGTTTGAGTTTCCTTAGGGATTCGGGGATTTCGCTGCCAAGCATGAAATCTTGGCCAGGTTCTACGAATTTGTGTTTGCCTAATCGTTTCGTCTTTATACCCTCGGTCGATAATTTCATTAGCTTTTTCCTTAAAAAAATATGTATAATTCATATATAACATCTTTTTTTGGTCAAAAACATAATTGTCACTTTACCATATCATATTCCAAATAACACATGTTATTTTTACGGATTCCTTAACAATAACATACTTAAAAAAATTTCAGACAACAATAATTAAAAAAATCAATAATCTTCTTCTCAAAAATATATTACAAAACGTCCATAATAAATGCCAATTACAAATTGACGGAACAATAATGTCCTTTCTTTTTACCCGATAACTAGAATGCAGACATATTTTGAAAAAAGGAACATCATGTGACTACTTCTTGAAGAAAAAGAAAGAAGTTTGAGAAAAAATAATAATAATACTTTTCGCTATAAAATGTTAAATATGAATGTACAATAAGCTAGAGAATATATAAGATGCATGATTTATTCTATTTTTTTTCATCTTTAAACAAGCGAGAGGTTAGCTAGTGGTTCCCAATAAATTCCCTTTCCTCACCTTCCTCGAAGGTTAAATAAGGAAGAATATAATCATTTAAAATCTTGATAATGAAGGCTTATTAATTTTTGAAAGTATTTTTTTTAAATTCATTTATAATTTATTACATTTTACGCTTGGTTTCCCTTTTGAGTTCCTCGGATCGAATTAGCTTTTTTAAACTTCTCAGCCCATTTATATCGTTCAATAGCTTCTTACCTAGTTTCTTGGCTATCCTTTGCTTCTCCTTCAAAACATAAATGTTATTTAATATTAATATATAAGTAGTGGAATCTATGGGAATAATCTCTCAATTCTAAATTATTCATAACGTGTTTTTATTTTAAAAAATTGATTTTAACGGAATGCATTCAAGTATATGCCGAGTACCTACTTACCTACTCTGTAAATTACAGTTTTATATATTTTACAAAAATGGTCAAAAGTTAATTTGTCTAAATTTGCATATTTGTCTGAAATTTGCATATTCAATTTCACGTTGTTGTTTGCTGTGATTAGTATCGCATTCCATTGCATTCATTACTAAATAATCCATTATATTATATCTGGTATATAATTTCATAGATCTCAGAATATATTCAGATTTTTATTTTTTCCGTCTTTTTAAAAATTATTTTAAGTTAATGGGCGGCACGTCGCTTTTCCAGCTGTTTCTTCATTATACATTTTCAAGGATTTAACTCAAAGCTGCTATGATCCAGAAATTCAACATAATTATAATTTATAAGCCCCTCCGCTTTTTAGAATGTTCAGCATGGCAGGGGTCATATCTTGTAAAAATTATCAATTAATTTCTATCTTTATATATTTTCAAAAAATAGAAAAAAATCAAAAATGAATAAATTCGTGTATAGATACTCTTAGATTATGAAAAATTTGTTCAAGAATAATAGCGAAATTCCTTTCAAAAAAAAGAAATATAATGGTTGGAGAATAATAATTCAATATGTAATCGCTTTCAACTATCTATCTTCTATAATCCAGTTTTTTTCAAAAAAAGGTAGAATCTTTAGATATAGCGATATTACAGAATGGTGCTTGGAATATCACCGATGTGAAGCCATGCATGGAGACCAAACTTGGGAGGCAGAAATTTTCCCAAACTTGACAGAATTTGGAGCTTAATATTTTTTATAAAGTATTTTGAACTCGTACTTAAAAACACAATTTATATTATATTTGCTTTCCTAATGTTTTTTATCAATATTATTTTAAGAATAACATAAAATTGTTTAATTTTTCTTCAGGAATTTTTATAATATTTCCCCATTTCCTTAAAATTCAACAGGCAACTTTTTAAAAATGTCGGATCAGTTCATTCTATTTTTAAAATTTTTTAACCTTTTTTAGAATTTCTGACACAATATTCACATTTAACTCTATTCGCTCTTTAAAATCTCTAAGATTATTCAGGTCTCTACTAAGCAATACCTCTTTAAGTGGAATTAAAATTACAGGAATATAGTGATAAAATATTAATTTGGAAAAAAAAAATTCCTTATTAATACTTAATCCTAAAAAACCATATTCGTATAGTGTGTTTTGAAGTAGGTGGGATAAAGAAATATTTCGAATGAATTTGAAAAATAGTGAATCTTAGCATGAGTTTTTGGAGTGAAATATAATTGACATGTTCTGCTTCATTTCGTAAAATATAGATATTGGTTAAGGTTAGTATTATTTTTTGGCTCGTTACATGTAGTATAAGTCTAAATAATAAACTAAATCAGGGTTGGCAAGTCGGTAAATTGACCGGTCGTATTCGGTCAATTGACAGGAGGAGTATGTGACCTGGTCAAATACACTAAAAAAATCTAAAGAAAGAAAAAAAAATAAAAATATGTGTGTAAAAAAAGAACAATGCTGCTATTGGGTCCCCAATATCAATTGGAACATTTTACTAGCAATGAATTTAAGTATGTGATGTAATTATATGAATTCGAGCATTATACAAAGTGGTTATGATCAAAATGTTTCGAGTGATAGATATCATAAATCAGAAAAAGGGGTCAGATTAATAAAAAAATCAGATTGCCTCAAGTTAGTGGAATGAGCTTCCCTCTCCATGCCTATCAATTAAAGTGACATTTTTATTAAAGCTTCCTATTTCTACTTCTTCTTCAGAAAGAAAATGACCGATCTTGGTTAATATTATTACTAAAACAAGAAATCGATTGAAGATCTCGACAATAAGATAATTGATTAAAAAATAATACAGAAAATAATGATATTGAATATTATTCAGAGCAAGACTCTGCCACGTAGAGAGAAACATTAGTTATTGAATGAGAATGAATTTTTAAAAAAATTATAAAATTAATATTATAGATTCATTTTACTATTGTATACAAAAATAAACTTAATATTATCTTAAATTTTTTTTATTTAAATTTGACCGTATTTGATTGATGAAATATTGGTTAATTGACAGAATCTTATTTGACCGGTCAAATACACAACCCTGAATTGAACAACATAATGTGTAAGTTAATTATAATTATATTTTTTGGCTAACATGAAAGAGAACTCGATTAAAATTAAAAATTTAAGTATTTATATTATAAAAATGTATAATAACCCTGGTTCGGTGTAGATCTGCTTTTCGTTTTTGGGCGCGTGTTTTTTTCTTGTCCCTAGACACCTGGGGGAGAGTTAAGATCGCCACAACTTTAGAATCGGTTTCAGTTGGCTAAAATAAAGAGTATAATATTCAAAAATAATAGAAAAAGAATTTTCTTTTTTTTAAATAAAGGTCTTATTTTATTCATTCACTCATATTGGCCTAATGTTTGAGACCCCCCCTCTCTCATAGACTATAATTACATTCCCGAAAAGGAAGCATTTAAACAAATAAAATATTACATCTTCTACACTTTCTGCATCTGATTCGGCGTCCATATCACCATTCTTATCATTTCTGGCGGAGGCTGGTAAAGCGTCATCAGCGTCTAAAGAGAGGCCCTGACACATCTCTTTGAACTTTATTTCCTGTTTTTTGTTTTATAAATTGAGACATATTTTTTTTTCAAAATAATATTAAGCCTTCCTTTATTTTGAGGGCCATTATGTGGCATATATAAGTAGGTAGACCTTAAAACATCATTAAACAGATGGAATAATTTGAACTACAAGGAATAACTATGTTTTACCTCATTTATTCACAAGAATATCATTAAAAAATGATTATAATGAAAGTACGCTAAACGCGTAAACGACAATTTTAAAAAAAACAAAATATTTTTTTTTAAAAAAGAAAACTTCTAAAGTTTTGTTATTGATAGGGATGACTTTAGCTTTCCTCAATATTTTTTCCTCTACCATCAAACATTTTTCTTCTTTTTCAATGACTTGGCCAAGCAAATTTTGATGATCTTTGTATGTTGGATTATACGATGCTCCGGGATGCGGTAAGAGTACTGCGTCAAGTTTAGAAGGCCTTAGAAATCTGTGAACCGGAACCTTAGACAAATATTTATAAACTCGATTAAGAATGTATCGATATCTCCTTAATATCGGGCAAAGTGTGGCCACAAAATTTGTATCAAACACAGTATCAATCATACATTTTTTTTAGTTATTGTTGTAAAAATAAATTTAAATTATATTTCTACTATAATTGTTATTTTTTCCCCCTCAGACAGAAACATAAAATCGATATTTTAAAAATTTAAACTACTGTTCCTTTTTGAGAACTCAATTATGTTTTTCCTTAAAATTAAATTAAATTTTTTTTGTAAAAATATTTTTATAAATATTATACATAATAATTTTAACAGATGGAGTAATAAATAAAATAAAATCTATATTATAATTTAATTAATTTTATATCTTTATTTTGGTAATTAAAGCATAATCATTTGTCAAGTGTAAATTACTTTTAAATTTGGATAATTTTTCAAACATTAGTTACGTTTATCGGTATCAAACAATCGTTTAAAAATCTATAAAAAATATTTATGACTCGATCCGTTTTTTTGACAAACATGACTATTTCTTATTTCTTTATCGATAATTCCGTTTCTACTTATTGTTCCATCTTGAGCGGAATTAGATACTAGTGCCAGATTTTTTAAACAAAATGGAAGAATTCTGAATTAATTGTTGAAAACTTTAAGAAGTAAATTTGTGAAAATAATTCGCAGAAGCAACGAATCGACTACTTATGTATATCAATTATGGACCAGTTACATCCCGATAATAATTTAACCAACTGCACTGGGTGGGTTCGTTTTGGTTAAAACAAATAAATTATCATGAAAGTTAATTGAATTTAAATAAGCAATAGCTTTTTTATCATAAATAAATAATACCAGACAAAATTAGGGTTAATTAAAAAGTAATTTTCTTTTAAGTTATAAAATTGATAGAACTAATTAATCTCTATGGCTAATAAATTGCCAAATTTAATCTTTGCAAAAAATTCAAAAATTGACACAAACTTTGGCAAAAAAACATAAATTTTGATAGTTAATTTTGCTTTTAGTATTATATAAATTTAGAATCTAAAATAAGATAGTGCATATGGGTGAAATAGTCAAATTTGCATGTCTGCTCTCAAACTACTTACGAAATTAAAATTCCTTATTTCTCCTGCAAACTTTACTCATCTTCATCTGAAGAAAATGTATATTTGACATAATAATCCTTGTAAAATAAATTATAATATTAATAAGAACATAAATTTTCATACATTGATTGATTTGATATTAATTAAATTAAAAATCTTGACTGAAAATATAACAACAATTTTAAATAAAAATAAAATAATTTGGGTGGTTGATGTGAATCACACACTGGCTAAGTTATTTTATAGGTTTTTTCCATATTTTTTAAGAAAAATTTGTAAAATGATTAACGTTCTGTGTCATCGATACTCAAAAAAATAGAAACACCTTTAGAATATTTTTTTGATGTTATTTTCACTTATTAATATACAATCATAGATCTTTGACATAAAAAATTTATAAAAATAATCAATTATGCTAATGATCATAATCCAAGGCTAAAAAGAACAAATTGTTTACCTTTATATTTGTCAATCTAAGTTGTGGGGCATAATCTTTATCAAATAATTCTTTGATATTTTCTAATAATTTATTTATGACATATAATAAAATCAATAAAAAAACCTTGATATTTTGTGTTTGATATTTTATTGTTTGACCATATATCTTGATTAAAATCATTATCACTCTCATTATTTTCATCATTAAATATTTTTTTAATTTTCTTAACAGGCTTATAATTGTGATTTGCATTAATTAACTTTGTTCTTTTTCTTTTCTGTGTAAACTTTTGACATAAGCTATTTATAAATATATATAAAAAATTTAATAAATAAAATAACTTTGTAACAGGAGGGAAATTATTTAAAGGTTTCAAATATGTCAATGATTTAAATGGTCTATCTAGAGGTTTTTCTGCTAATATATTATATATACATATATATCTGTTAATATACTTGTGTAATTTTTGGGTTTAACGTCTATGTGATATAGTTCTTTATCAGTTTTTTCATGAACAATTCCCCTAATAATTATTTTAAATAATATTCTAAATAAAATTTAATACCCTGTCCTTTCTTGTAATCTTTTTTCAACTAAAAAATCTTCCACATCTTGAACATCTCCATACTTGCGCCATGTCTTTTTCCTGTTTTTACTTACTTTTATTTTTTTACCCATGCTGATTTTAAAATAGTTCCTGATACATAAATAAATTAGTTAGAAAAGAGATGATTGACCTATTTTGTGGCATTGCAACATTGACATTAATTTACAAAATTGTGTGATAAAATGAATCATATTTTTAAAGAGCATATAAAAAAAAGAATTTGAGTGTCCGGGAAAGTATTTACAGAGAATATATATGAGCAATTTAAAGGTTAAATATTTTATTGCCACAGTTTTCTTCACTTACTAATTGCAATTCAATTCTAGTTATTATAAATGAAAACAATTGATTGACTTAAAAATTTCTATTACTACAGCGGATGTAAACGAATAATTTGTTAGACATATAAGAAACCGACAAATTTAATTAAAATTTGTGAGTCTACACCGTAAATTTTAATAAAAAAATGAACCCATTCATGTTATTTTACAGCATAGGCACAGTCATGTGGGGGGAAAGGGGCAAGGAGAAACTCTCTTCTTTAAAATTTTTTTTTCGTAAATATCATTTTAAGCTAATACATCGCCCCCTCCTCTCTCAAAAAAATATATATAATATATAACTCTAAAAAGAAGAATATGAAAGAAAAATTAGTAAAAGTTAATAAATTATTTAAATAACGACTATAATTTTTTTTAAAAAACATTTTTGATATTAAAAAATGTGAAAAATCAAAAATTTTTTATAAAATAATAATATAACTAAAGGCTAACAATAAGTGAATCTAAGGACCTCCAATAAATTCTTAGGGAACCCCTACCTCATTTAGCAATAGCAGCACCTATAATTTGCGGAAATGCCTTTTGAGAAAGATAATCCAACTGGTACAAATATCAAGTAAAATTCTCAGATTTCCACCTAAAAATTCTTACAGATTCATTTGGATAACCTATTCTGGAAGAAAAAGTAGTATATATAAGCTTTTTTGATAACAAAATTATTTTTTCAAGATGATGGGATGTCACCCTTGGACGCTAAGAGATATTAACAGAAGATGAATATTGTATACAACTAGAAAGGAAATAAAATATATACGCTTATTATTTTTGATAGCAAAATTATTTTTTTATTAAGATGATGGGATGTCAGATGTCACCCTTAGAAGCTAAGAGATATTAACAAAAGATTAATATGATTGGTAAACAAATGCATCAATAAATCTAAAAGTGCACTTCAAAAAAAGATCCCTTGGCTTCTAATATCGTGAATTTTAATTACTGAAGATGAAAAATGTTCTAGCAAATAAATTTTAATCTATGTCCTGAATCCTTGAACAAGATTGAGAGAACGGTGAAGATTGTATATAATGAGATGCTTATATTCGAAATTAAAAACAGAATGATGAAAAAATTCGTATGAAAATTTTATGTATTAAAATATTTATTTTCTAGATTAATAACTGGAGGAAGATAAAATACCTGATATTTATCACATGGAAAATGTAAATAAATATCTATATTAATTTAAATGTGTGCCAATTCAATTGAAGAAAGTTTTCCTATAAATATTTATTTCGTTATTGGTTTATAGATTAAATATTATAATATAATTTATATTAATTATTTATATTTGAGATGTTGATTTATTGAAATAAATGGAAAGAGAATTAAAATTTCTTACCTATTAATCGAGTAATTTACATGAATAATGTTGTGACTCAAAGTTATAAGGTTAGCCTTTTTAGAATAACAAGCTATGTCGTAGTCGGGATGAGTGGAGTCAAGGGAATTTGACTCAGTCGTTAACGAAACAATGCTAATATTACCAGGTCGTAGAGCCAACGAAATGGAAAAATTGAATGATCTCCTTTTGTGATACCACATTTAATATTTTTGTATAATGAATTTTTTGTTGCTTCGTTTTTTTAAGATTTACATTGATACCGCTTCTTTAACCGATAGCGATATCATATTACAGTATCATAAATTAATGTGGTATATTTATTGAATAAAATCTGCACGTTTATAATATTTAATTTATTTATTTTGACAAGTATTGTTAATTCACTTAAATTTTGCTAAATACAATAGGGTTTATATTATTTGCCCTTAAAAAAAATCGAAATCTTTAAGTTAAGCTTCAAAAAGATTTGGATATATTTTTTAGAATAAAAACTTGGTTAAGCTGTTTTGGAGCTAGCTAAATTTAGGTGATTTATTTAACCACTTAAGAGGAGACAGGGACTTGAAAGAACCTGTTGGAATTTTCGTGTGCTGATGACCTTGTACTGTTGGCAACAACTTAAACAGATTTAATGTATAAGATAATCATATGGAAGACGGTTTTGGAAGCAAAGGATAAATAAGAATGAAACGATTGGCCGTGTCATGTATGAGGAAAAGGTGTTGTTAGAAATTAAATCCGATGTACCAGCTGCCAAAATTGGGTACATGTAGGATGTAGTAGCGAGAAAAGAAGCCTGATAATATCAAGTAAGACATTTATAATAAAACATGCGTGAAAGGACAACGGTCAGATATTTTGTCTCCTCTTGTAACTTGAAAGAGTTTCGTCGGACCAGGCCAATTAGAAATGAGATTAATTATAGCAGCAAAAATTATAAAGGACAGTTTCGCAATCATTTACTGCTCATGTTTTTAATCCTTCTTTGAAATATTTGTATAATGCCGCTAAAATTATTCAAATAAACTAAATTTACGAGATAGGTTAATTGGTTTGTGGAATTTTAAAGGCCTCCTCTCTTAGCCCTGATAATTAAATAATACTTAATGGGATAATCCTAATCCATATAAACCAAGGTTTACCTTTTGCTTTGGGGTTACATGGATCTTCGGGAAATATTTCGCCGATAAATCATCTCTTAGGGCGGAGATATAAAACACAAAATATAAAAATTTAAATAACTTTTTTGTTTCCTTAATTTTCTGACATAGTCTTTTCATTTGAACCCCGAACCCTCCAGTCTTATAACTATTGGGATTTTATATATGGCAGCGAATCTCCATTAAAATCCGTCATTGTATTGTAATATTTTTCTTAATTTAAATTTTGTGATTATTATGTCTATTTTTTTAATGTCTTTTATATTATTTATTTTCCCAAAAGATACTTTTCTAAAATAATTTCCTTTTCAAAAGTTTTAAATTAATGAAATAATAATAAAGGTAAAATATACATCTTGTTTCTTAGGATGCTATTATTTATTATTATTTTAAATTCAATTCTTGTGTTCTTACGTTTCAGACATTTGCAATGAAAGTCCTGACCTGGATGTAAAATTTTATTAAAATAAAAAAAATATTTATAAAACCCGGCCAGTTTAAAAAAAATATAATTATATTATATCCATTAATCAGTTGAAAAATTTTCATATATTTACACAAAAACAGGAGATTACAATTCTTACAAGTTATTATGCTGCTATATTTTTGCAATAAAATTTTTTTTCAAACCACCCCTGGAAAAATATCTGTGGGCGACTTTGAGGGTAGGGTTATCCTTAATGGCTTAATAGCAACCTAACTAGCAAATAATCACATTTGTCATTTTTGTGATATCAAGCAACCTTACAAAAAAAAATTATAATTAATTTTTCAAGCTTCGGGGGAATAATCTTAAACATTACAAAAAATATTTTCGTTATCTCCTTATCAAAAAAATAAACAAGCAATGGTTATATGCTTGAAAAGAATATGCTATAATAACATTTTAAGTTTTCATTACACAAAATTTGCCTCTTCGAATTCGTAAACAACAGTGAGACAAAATTTTAATATTATTTATTATACATAAGACTATGTCCAAAATCTTCTTTTTTTTAAAAAATTCCAAAAAGTTCAAAACTTTCCCAAATTTTAAAATTTTAATGAAATCTTATGATTAATTTATATGAAATTTTATAAAATTTTATAGAATTATGTTTTGGAGATGTTTTTAATTTTTATATTTAAAATAGCTTATTTATTTTTCATTAAAGGGAGTTTGTGAATTTAATTTTTTAATATATTGGGCACAGCCTAAAAAATAATTATATAAGGAAAGGAAAGGAAAGGCGGTTATTTTGTGCAATGGAATGAATGATATTTTTAAAATAATTTGTAATTCTGAAATGAATATTCATATGGAAATATAATTTTGACGCCTATTTACGGAGATCTGCAAGCCCAAAAAATAATATAATTTTAAAAATACAGGGCTGATCTTAAAAATTCTAAACAGTTAAAAAATCAGGCCGAGCCATCATTAATCAGTTGGAAAATCATACATAATAATATGGTGTAATAAAATGTGACATTTGTATAATAAATTATATGCCATCCCATGAAGTGCAGTGTCATTAACAGGAAGTTTACTTGAATATATGACCAACATGTCAACGGATTATTTAATATGACACGCTCTGCCAAATCTGAAAGTTTATATAGGTGTTATTAATATTCTCCCCCCAAATTAATATCCTAAAAACTTATTACTTAAAATATCGTAATTATATAGTTGCCCGTTGTTAATTTTTTTTTTGCATCCTACCATATGCTTTTTGAAAAAATAAATAAGTCAAACCTTTAAAATACTACTACTACTTGGGCATTACTTTACACCAGGGTAAAATGAAAATTTTTGATACACTCAGCAGGTTAAGTCGCTTTGAAGTATCATTTAATTTTGCCAAAATAGAAATTAAATTTAAGACAGCCAGTTCGTATTGCGATTGCAATTTTACTGATTAAAAAAATGTTTTACAATAATTTTCATCTCGAAAATTTTTTTTAAAAATAAATGAATAGATTTTTATAATATTACTCATCCAGCTGTTTATATTATATAAATATCTTTAATCAGTACTTAAGATGATGTCGGAGTTCGAGAAGGGATGAATTAACTCATTCATTATTATTTTAATTTTATTGATTTTACATATTATTAGTAAGGTACTTTATATTTTTTTTAGAAATTATTATTTAAGTAATAATTTAAAAGTTATAATCATATATATTTAGAATGAAATTTGGTCGACCCCGACTTTTACTACTAATATGCCTTATTTTGACGATATCATTCTGCGATCTTATACTGACTAATGAACAAACTACGAATTGCAATGCAAGATACTACGGTGAAAATATGATGGTATGCGTTTGTAACGCTACTTATTGCGATTATTTCCGCCTACCCGAACGTGTGGTTGGGAATAAGGTATTGGTTTATACATCGTCTCAATCTGGATTGCGTTTCAGCAAAAGCGAGCATACCTTTATTAACTATGGCGGGCCGCAACATGATAATGACGGCTCTGTCGTACTCACGATCGATTCTCGCAAAAAATATCAATCCATTTTGGGATTCGGCGGCGCTATTACAGATGCAGTCGTTTTAAATTACTACAACATGACGGGTCCTACTAAATCGGCCTTTTTGAGATCCTATTATTCTGAATTGGGTATCAATTATAACATGATCCGGATTCCTATGGCCAGCTGTGACTTTTCTACCCACGTTTATTCTTACGATGATCATGACAATGATTTTAACCTTACTCACTTCGAATTAACCGTCGAGGACACGCATCACAAGATCGCCATGATACATGAAATCTTGAATTTGACCCGGGAAGATATCAAGGTATACGCTAGTCCCTGGAGTGCTCCCGGCTGGATGAAATCTACCGATTCCATGATTGGTGGTCCTTTGATCAACGAACCAAACTATTTCAAAACTTGGGCCAATTACTTCGTCAAATTTTTAAAAGCTTACGAAAGTTATGGTATTAAAATATGGGGTATAACGGCCCAAAATGAACCCGAGGACGGTTACAATACAAAATACCCGTTTCAGTCGATGCATTTTACTCCCGAAACGGGGGCCGACTTCGTCCTCAATTATTTGTGTCCTTTGCTAAAATCGAATGGTTTCCTTCCGGAACTCGCCGTTATGATATTGGATGATAATCGACCTTTCATCAGAAAATGGGCTGACCAGATACTCGGTAAACTGAACGGAAGTACGGAATGCGTCAAGGGGATAGCCCTGCATTGGTATCTAAATTTCATATCCCCAAAAATTCAATCGTTGGTACATTTGGATTACCCAAATTATTTTATACTATCTTCCGAAGCATGCACGGGATCCCTCCCTTGGGAAAACAACGTCAAATTGGGCGATTGGAGTCGAGGGGAGAAATACGGGAGAGATATTATGCAGGGTTTGACTAATTGGCTCTCGGGCTGGACCGACTGGAACATAATGTTGAATTTAAATGGGGGCCCTAATTGGGTCGGGAACTTTGTCGATAGCCCCGTCATATTCAACGTGGCGAAAGACGAGTTTTACAAACAACCCATGTTTTATTTTTTGGGCCATTTTTCGAAATTCATACCTAGGGGATCTGTCCGAATCGACGTGGAAATGTCCAATAATACAAAGAGCAAATTTTTAGCCATAGCCTTTGAAACCGACCATAATTATTCTATCGTAATCTTAAATACGCACAATGAAGCCGTCAATTGTAAGGTCGTCAATGCGGATAAAAGCGTAGATTTGACATTGGAAGGACGTTCCATAAAATCGATCATATGGCCAAAGCTAGAAAAAGAATATTCTCAAATACGTTATAATAGTATTAATTAGTTTAGTTAATAATTTATGTAAGTGTATTGTTATATCGGTATTGTGTAATAAAGTTTAGATAACGATAATAAATATTGTATGTAACATGAGCATTAATGGTTAGGTAAAGAGGCCTGTAGACAGGAAATAACAATTGAGAGGGGATAAACAGATTTGAGAAAGCTAATGGGGGGGGGGGGGTATTTTTGTTCATGTGCCATCAAAAATAAGAGGGCATGTTTGGGGGACAAAAACGTTTAGGACTGGCCTGACCCCCCATGCCCTATCCCGGTGTCCACAGAAATTTCCGATAAAATTAGATTTTAATTATTTGTTTTTTTTAAACTCGCGATATTAATCATTTAAAGTTGCAAATTTTGATGTGCGAATCTTTTAATATGAGAAAGATTTTCCAAAAACGTATTCCATTATGTTTAAAATACCTATTCTATAAATTCCAGACAATTTGTTCATGAATTTTTGAGTTATTTTTAATTAAAAATTCTATTAAGAATCCCAAATTTATTGAAATAGTAATCAGCCATAATATAAACATTGTTGGTAACATAATGGAACAATTTTCTTCGTTGTAACAAAAATATTTATTTGGGCAACAAATCTGTAGAAAAATAAATTATTCTTTTTTTTTGAAATTATATAAAAACTGAATAAAATAATTTATAGGATAGGTAATGACAAATCAAGAGGATGACAACTCTTTGTCTCAGATTCTGATGGCATTCATTTAAGAATAGTAAGATATTCCCTCAATCACGAGAATTTCTCTCCAACTTCTGTCTATGCCTGCCCTGAGCCTATTTTACTGAATCCTTCTAGTTTTTCTAACTGGACTCTCTCTTCAAGATTGGGTTGAGGGGGATAGAGATAAGAAAATTTCTTCATTTTCCTTAAATTAAAAAAAAAATCAAGAAAACTTTCATGATTTAGAAATTTTAAAATACTTCTGTCACTTATCAATTAAAGAGCTCTAAAAATATTTCGGGATGTTACCATAAATATTTTGACGGAAGCATTCCTATTTATAATTATCATGGCGGTGATTCTGGTATTGATGCACAATTTTAGAAATATCTTTGACATAGGGGACTTCTACCTCTAGTTCGGGCAGTTATGAAACAAGACACTCCTGGAAATTGGAAGGGTTAGGTAGTTATAAATTGTCATTTGAGTAAAATTAGAAGAGGGGAGGGTAGGTAATGATTTTTTGTCCTTGGAGGGTAGAGTTGAGGAGAGAAAATGGTAAGTTTTTTGAAGATTTATCATTAAGCATGGGTCGTAGAAGTTTATGCTTTAGCCTAAATGTTGTTTTGATCCAGTAATTCAAAATATATTTTTTAAAAAAAAACAAAAAAAAACTGTGAAATATTTTGATTGCCGAGCGCTTAATACATTATCGATTTATTTTTGTTTTTCTCAAATTAAGAAAAATGACACTTTACGTTTTTTTTGGAATCAACACTGAGGTGACGAAATAATAATAATGAGAGATTATAAAGCCGAAATCGATACTTAAAATTACATCTATATTTGATTGAAAAAATCCCTTAATTTTTTTTTCCTTCTCTCTTTCCTTTTTTATATATATATCTTATTATGGAATAACTCATCGTTCCACCTAGATTAACGTTTTTCCCTAGGCTGTGCCCTGATTCTATTTAATTTTTTTGTTCTTAATTCTTAATACTGCATTCTATTCAGAACAGCTAAGATACCCCTTCTATGATAAATTTTTTTAGATCAGATGATATGATGCTTATAAGGCGCATACTTATTTTTTCCTATTGTTTTTTTTTTGGTCTAAAAAAAACATTCTATTCAGACAAGCTATTTATCTATCTAGAAAATCTACAAAAAAAATAGAGCCAAGATAATAGCTTTATAATTCAGAATTCGTGGTGTTAGTTATAAGAATATTTCTTGGTTATAATGATGTACGTACATTTATCTTTTAAAATTAATGTTCCTGACCGAACTAAAACAACGTGCGCGTGTTAACCATTTTTTTTAAAATATTTCTTATAAGCGTTATGACGATTTGAAAACTTTAAAAAAATTTTTTGTTCTTCACCAAAGTCTTATTTGGGTCGATTTTTCAAAACGACCCTATTAAGATTTTAGCTAAAATAATATTATGTAAGTATCGAAGATTTGGCAAATAGATGTCTAAGATGTATTGTTAAACGGCTCGTAATTTTTTAAAACGGCTAACTCAATATTTTAGCCGAAAAATATTACCATAAGCCTCGAGATTTCTATAATATATGTCTAGACCTTTGTTCCTTCTATGAGCTAAATCTTTAGGCTTTGCATAATATTTTTTATGGATGAAATATTGAGTTAGCCGTTTTTAAAAATTACTCAAAACGAGCCTTTTAACAACACTATTTTGCCATGTATGACAGTCTTATATAATGTTATTTTGGTTATAATTTTAATCGGGCCGTTTTTTTAAAATCGACCAGAATTGGGCTTTTTTAACAACAACTACACCAAAACAATTTTGATCTCGTTTTATTTTTCTTACATAAAATATTTAGGAGCTAGGGTATTTTAAATTAGATGTTTGCAAAAACATACCACCCTAAATATGTCGAACCGCCCTGAAAAAAAAACAACAACAATTTATTAATGTAAAAATAAATATATAATTATGATGAGGTCAGATCCTATCAGATTAAATTGCTGCCAACAAAATTTGTTATTTGGCTTATTATCGAAAAATCGGCTGAATATCTCGAACTTTAACCTACAGGTTAAGAAGAAGAATAAACAATTTAAACTCCCAAGTTTAGTCTAAAAAAAATCAGCTCTAAACTTCAAGGATTCCCCTTAAATGGCTTAAACCTCGGATAAGCCATTTTGAAGTCGAGTACTGTCAAAAGATGAATTATTTTGTTACTTTTCATAAACAAATAATATATTAATATGTAATTGTATACTATAGGTGTATTTTTGGACAAGTTATATAGTAAATTAGCATTGGACGTAAGCTCAATTTAAAATAATTTATTTTTAAAAAAATTTAATTTTATAAATATCATAAAATGTATAACGAGGACATTTTTTCAAAAAAAAAAACTGAAATTATTTATAATATATTTTAAAATATTATTTGTATATATTATAATTTAGGTCAATTTCTTTTTATATACAAAAAAAGAAATATAAAAAATTTACACCTTAATTGAATTAATAAGTAAAAAAGATTTGTTTATATTATAATAATTTATTATTATTTTTTAACCCTTTCAATTTAGAAGTGAAAGGCTTAAACAAAACTTGAAGAAACGTTTTTACCCTAAATTTGAAGCAGATTGTCCCGGCCCCCTTCTAATAATGATTTGAATTTGAATTAAATTTTAACGCGATTACCAATTGAAAATTTAATATTACATGATTAATATAATTATTATGCTTATTTTGTTTGTTTTTTTTGTATTACGTTAAAAAAAAATTTACTCTTTAAATGATCAAGAACTTTAATACTTCATACCGGGTTCATTTTCAATAATATATTCTTCAAGGTATAGCAACACTTGCTTCTGTCCTAGATGCCCTGAGTCTTGCTAAACCTTAGGGAATATATAACCATAAAACTCGTACGTAATCTATTTCGATTCTGGTTCATTAAAATTTTGAAAAATGGGTGCTGAGTTCTGTTGACGGTTTTTATGTTCCGTCCAGGCTCCTAGGATTTGAGGTTACTGTTTCAAGCTCTGCTTTTAATGAATCTTTTAATGCTTATAAAATTTTCCAAGAATCCCAACATTTTTGAATATATTATTTATGTATTACTCACCTAACGTATAATATAATTTATTATGCATGATTATAGATTATATTAAGAAATTGTGAAAGATAAAAATTATCTATTACATGTTATTTTTTTTTAGGTGATAATAAGTCTAGCATCTAATCATGATTCCAAATTTTAATGATCGAAATCAAACACTTTCAAAGACAAAATGTTAATAAATATTTGCATCCAACAACCGCCCCTGAATCTCGCCTTCGCGGTTCAAATCCGCATTAGTAAAAAGTCTAGTTATTTTACACATCATGTTCAAACCTTAGAACCTTCTCGAAGAAATTTAATAAAAACTATTGCCACTGGATAAATTCAGATATTGAAAATGTGAAATGTGATTATTTAACTATGCATTTAATGTCGACAAATGCTAAGCAGTACTCCCTAATCTCTAAATCAGGGTTTTGGACTCGAATCGGGTTCTGGACTCGAATCGGGTTCTAAAATTTAAAATTTTTTGGTTAGGAATTTTGAAACCGACAGACCAAACAGAAACCGATTTATGGGCAACCCATCGAACCAGGGGAAATATAGATCCGGGGGCGGGTTCGGACTTCTTTTAGAAATCGGTTTTGGATTAGGCCCCGGTTATTAAAATTTCCGCTAAATAGAGTTTAAAATTATTCAGGTCCACAACCCTGCTTTAAATATCGTCATTTTTATGACGAAGATGCCTTTTAGTTTAAACAATTCGATTAAAAGAACTGCCCATATTATATTATCATGTTGCCTGTAACTTAAAAATAATATTTTAAAACTCATCTATTAAATTTGGGATTAATTAAATTATTCTTTTTGAAGCTGGTACTGGTAACATATTCGTATAATAATAGTTATTATATTTTAATTTTAAAAAGACACAATTTTTTAAACATGAACGAATTGTTTGAAAAGTAAATAATTTTTATATAGTTATTAAAAATAAAAATATTTTCTATATGGGATGGATGGTGGTTATGAATCATGATTTTAAAAAAATATATTAAAACTGGAAATATATAGTTATAAATTATATAGGGTTAAGGTAATTTAAAATATGATATATATATACATTTATTACTTTTTAAAATATGCAAAAATTTATTTACAATTAGAAAGGCAGACGATATAATTTTTTTAATGCCAAACCTTCGAATTATCAATTTTTTCGAAATGAAACGTTAGAATGTTTTGTGATTGACCTTACGCTGCATTTATAATAAACGCATTGTTTTCAAGCGTTGCGTTATTACAGCTGATTCAGTTTTAAAAACTAATTTAAGATAAAGAGATAATTAATAAAATATTTTAAGAAAAATCATATACCTTTTTATCGAATTCGATAATTATTTTTATAATCGTATTGCATATTTTTTTATCAACGCACCGCACCATATATTTTTCAAATTTTATCATAGCATTATCATCTGAACGCTCTATATTTATCAATTTATACCTATTTATTGGCTTTATTTTGTAATAACGCAACGCTTGAACATAACGCGTTTACTATAAATGAGGCCATAAGTCACATTACAATCGTAATTTAATTAAAAATATTGCTCTGCCACTTTTTGACCTTACAAGAAGAGGTACTGATGAGACTTAATCTTGTGTGGCTTGTGTAATCGAACTTAGAGTTCTCTATCAATTTGACTAGAGTCCTTTTGTGGCGGAAAAGCCTGCGGTGAATGAAAAAATATATGATAGGGTTTACGGCACTGTTCGCGTAAGCTATCCAAGTTATCAATATGATAATCCATTCAGGGGTCCATCGAATAAAATCGTCGTCATATATTCTATCAATTACCGATAGGGTCAGGATCATGGAGAAGAAAGGTGTCCAGCAAATCAAAAAACAGAATAAGAGCAAAATTACGAACTTGATAGCCTTTTGATCTTGTTTTATGCGTTTAATCTTGCAATTACTTGTTATGTTAGCTATTTTGAATATGTTATTAGTGTGCTTTCTAAGGTTAGTCACGAGCAATACGCAAAACACCACTATTATTAGGATAGGTGCGAAAAATGAAAAACTAGAAAACATCAGGGCTACTTCTAAATTTATCTTCATGTAGCATTTCCTCTTCACCAAACCGAAATGTCCGTCATCATCCAAAGTTACCGCATCGTTGCCAGGCAGCAAATTTACCGCACTTATAGTTCGATTCGACGAAAGGTCACAATTTTGTTGGCAATATAAAATGGGGGATATATTTTTTTCTCCGGGCATAATTCCATATGGCGGAAAACAGTGGTTACAGAAGTAAAAACAAGCCGCGAAGGTGAAACAAATCAGCCATATGATAGACAAGCTAATGTTGTAACGTTTTATGATGCTCTCACCCATGTAATTTAGAGTGTTTCTCATGATTAAGTATTGATCTACAGCCAAAAAAACTATGTGAAGTACACTGACGTTGGCTAGGAAGATAGTAAAACATTTCCAAATTTTGCAGGCTTCATAAGAAAACAGCCATACCTTCCAACCCGTGGAAAATGCGTCCTTCAATACAATTACAAGGCCGAAAAGTAAATCGCCCATCGCCAGCGAAAAAATGATTCTATATCTGGGCATGTTTTTCATTTTGGCGGAGGTCAAATAAATCAGGATCAGCCAGCTGTTGCCCATGATTATGATAAGTGACAAGGAAATCATCAAAGCAAATTTAACCAAGAAATACCTGTCGTTATGTATGAATTCGAATTCTTTCATCATTTTTGTGATGATAATACTTGAAAATAAGAAGAAATTATTCGTCAATCAACGACGTGAAAATCAATGATTCTCCATTAAAATAAAACATTTCGCATACTAAAATATAAATTGACTCAAGTGAAAATGGGAAAAAAATAATTAAATAATTATTAACACGTTTTTTTTCCTCATTCATTAAGCTTTTTAATATTATTTATATTTTTTCTAAATAAAAAGAAGATAGTTATCGTTATAAAGTCTATTTTGGGAGATATTTGAGATCAAATGTGTTTGATTAAAACATTGGATAAATTTTATTTAAGTTCTATAAATAATTTATATTCCGCATGGGAACAAAGATTAATAAAAAGGGCGCATTAGGATATGGAATCCACGGGGGGGGGGGGGCTTGAAATCTCTCGAATTTTAAATCATAGGTATATCTATTTCTAGGCGCGATTAAAAATTTTTTTTTAAAAATCCGATTTAAACTGAAAGTATTCTACCACGTGACGAGTACCTACACCCCTATGAATTTCCCGAAAATTTCCACCATAACCTTTTGCGTATTCTATATATATATTATGAATCAATATAAAATAAAGGTTATAAAGAATAGTTTAAGGGAAAAATGCTTAAAATCTACAGTGTATATACTTAATATATGTTAAAATACATTTCCGGTCAAAACCCTAGGATAGTTAAAACTACCCGATAAAAAATGTTAAACCAAAATAATGATCATGTAAGCCCTCGAGATTTGGGCAAGTAGAGGGTTCCAAATTTTTCTGTCATCTATTGGTAAAATATCCAAGCTTTGCGTAATATTTTATTTTGGCAAAACTTAATCGAGTAGTTTTTTTTTAAAAAAAATCAATTTTATATATAATACTTAGACTGACGATTCATTCATTAAAAGTGTACATCAATGCAAATCAGCTTGAGACGCCATCTTGGTTGCACTAATCATTATTAAAATTTTAAACGAGAGCCTAATTTATTCCTATATCTGAGGCAAACTTTATTAAAGAATTACCGGATCATCGAGATAATAAGGAAGCAAGTTATCAATTTTTAACATGAGAATAATTACTATATGTGTTATCAAAATGGTGGGTCCAGCTGATTTGCTTTTAACGACGCTTAAAAATGCATTTTAATGAATGAATCGTCAGTCTAGGTATTATATATGTCATTGAAAAAAATCGACCTTAAATCGGGCTTTTTAACACAACACTAATTATGAACAGATTTTTTGAATCTAAAAATAGCCCACGATACATGATTTAAAATCGGAAGATTCTAGAATTTTCCATTAATTCCATATATAAGCATAAAAACAAATATATTACCTTTTTATTCCCTCACCTTAAAAGGTGAGAAAGATAAATAAAATGAAATTTAGATATTTTATTATATTTTTATCTTTTTTAACTTGGAGAGGGAATAAATCGATATTGAATAGATTAAACTAATTTGTTATATTCGATAGAAAACCTCACTGATATATATATATACTTATTTTCCATATCTTCATCAATCAATTCGTATTTAATTGTAATATAGAGCAGAGGCTTTTAAACATTCCCAATTCTCCTCCCCCCTTCTGATTATTAAAATATAAAATGGATTCATATTGTAAATAACGTGTTTACTCGAAGGAAATGACGTATATTTTCATTGCTACCCTTGCCTTATTGGAGCTCCAAATTTAGGTTTCGTTCAAAATTTTAATATTTGTGTTTTTTAATGTTATATTAAACATTATCAATTTTTTTGGCTTTTATCTCTGGGTCAATTATTGCAGATTTATATGCTTATAAATCAATGATGTATAACGTGGGATAACGCTTTATAATGGCGTTACCCTAGGGAAAAAGTAACGTTATTCTTAAGTATCTCTGGAAATTAAACGAGTAAAATAAAACAAAATTATTATTCGAGTAGCGTATATTTTGTTCGTTAATTTTAAAAATATGTAAAAAGTTAGATATAATATAAGTGCTAAATTCCTATTGGCCTGAAAATTTTGCCAAATGCAGACCTCTAATAAAAATAACGGACGGGTTAAAAAAAATTCAAACAACTAGTGGGCGGAACTTTTCGGCTAAAACCGCGCTCATTGCAGATCTCTAGTGTATACGTACATATTTAAAAATGATCTTTCTACAGCATAAATTAGACGGAACATTTTAACCGTTTTACCAATAGCAACTTTACCCCAAGTTTATATATATTGTATAAATCGTTATTTCGTGACTTCTAGCTAAGCCACAAACTTTCTTTAAATTTTATTTTATAGCCATGGCTTTAAGAAACATATATTCAAAATTTTATATTCTGAACCTTAATATATTTTGTTAAAAGTAAAATAATTTGAGCGTGATTTTTATAATTTTTGGGTAAAAAAAAGAGGGGATTTTTGAGGGAAAGTTTTCCAAAAGATGAACATACGTAAGAAATTAGATATAAAAATACATCTCCATACCAAATTTAAAATATCTATGCTCAAGAGTTAAGAAGTTATTTGCGTTAACATTGTTACCCTGTCAATCGCTTTACCCCGGTCTCCCCTACTGAATAAATTGCTATTGCATGAAAAGTTCCTTACGCATACCTAAAATATACTAATATATTTCTACATCTACATCCGACCAAAAGCCCTATTTTCATATTATTAAAACCTGGATATATTATTGCCTGGTTTAATGAGAGTCGTTATCGAAAAAATTTAATTTTACATTGCCTATTTCATAATGTATCTAATCAGCATAGATTTTGCAGTATTTAATTGCGCAAGGCTCATTTTACAGGCGAGCCAATGAAAGTTTAAAGAAACATCTGAGTTAATCGTTTTCGGTTCGGTTTAAGCTATTTTAGAATAATCGGTTAGATGGAGTCATTACCCAACTTTAATATCCACTGAATTGGCGGAAATTTGAGCCGCTAATTTACCACCCCCCCTCCCCCCCCCCAAAAAAAAGAATCCATCCAAAAATCAACCCTTTTTTGAAGAATTGGAAATATTTAACCACCGTGGCAAATTTATTTTTGTATACTATATTAAACTTGCATTTGTATACGCGTTTTTTATGCCATATAGTGTCCATATTCTATCTAATTTGCATTTTAAAAAGTAAAAAAGGCTATATGTTTTTTTTTCATAAAAATTGATTCTCTTATAGAGGTAAAATTTTAATAAAATTCTCCTAACTTACGGGCTCGCTCTGGGCTGGGTCAAATTGGCCAAATACGATATATAAAGTCGAATGGGAAAAATTCTTTCCCAATGCGACACCCACCACTCTCTTCCCAAGCCAAAAAATACCTGATGTGGCTAAAAAATTAATAAGATATTACTGATTCCTAATTTACATTTATCCATCACATTCACAAACAGAAATAAATAAGTTACTAATTTATTATAAATTAATATCGATTTCAAATTTTCCTCGGTAATATATTTATCTATCATTTTAAAATATTCTCAAATCATCTGAATTTCACTGCAAAATTAAAGTAAAATATTTCAAAAAAAAAATGGCTACGATTTGATTGAGACTATGAGAATAGCTGAAAGCATTATGGAACTTAAGGAAATTAGGACAAATGTACAGATGACGAATTTCATAAATTATATATCATTGTTTGAGTCAAAAGCAGAGCTCTATGAATTTAATATTTATCTACCACGATTCACAACAAAGCAAGCTCAAATAAAAATAAAGAACTTTCGGGGGTTGATCTGAATTAAAAACTCAGCCCAAATTATTTATAAAATTTTAAAAAAAATATAATATATAATAAAATATATTTTTTTCATATTTTTAAGAGAAAACCTTAAAGTAACGAGTTACGTTTTGCATCACTGTTAACTCAAAAAAATAATAACCTTTACTCGTTACCTTTTGAAACAAGTAACGATTGTCACTCCTTTTCCCTAAAAAAGTAAGGCCGTTGAAAACGACGTTACCTACATCGACACACAGTTGTTTTAAATCAAATAATGACATTATTTTGTTGACATTATTTTGTTGACATATTCTCACAGAATAAAAACTGAAACGCTTAGATTTTTTTTTGCTTAATTGCTCAGAATATGACCTAAAGCTAGGGATTTATATTTAAATTCACAGATATGTTAAATTCAAAGATGACTTTGCAAAAGTAAAAATTTTGATTTTCTCAGAAGAAATACTAAATCAATCAGTAACTTTTTGTTATATGAAAGTATTTCATATTCAAATTAAAGTTATTTAAATAAATTTGTTGGAGTTTTATTAATTTATGTTCTTGCTGAGTTTTATAATCTATACTCTCGGGCTATCGTGGGGTAGGGAGAGTAGGGAGTACAATTAATTAACATAATATCTTGACATAACAAATTAAAGCTAATAAGATAAATTGATTACATTGAAGCTCAACAATATGTCATCAGGGTGAAGAGGATGGGGTAAATTTTTTAAACATAATATATAGGTATCAAATAAAAGCTAATAAAAAGTTATTGATGCTCAATATTCTATGTCATCAAAGTATGTGTTGAAGGTGGGGGGGAGGGGGTAAAGCTTTCTACATAATTAGTCAACATGGTAACAAATGAAAGCTATAGGTATCAAATGAAAGCTATTAAAAAGATAAATGGTTATTGAAGACTCAATGTCACTAAAGTACTTGTTGGGAGGGGGGAATAATTTTTATAAATGATGTCAAAATGCGTACCAAATGAAAATTTATATAAAGATGATGCTAATCATTCGGTGTTCAGGTAGGTGTTGGGGAAGGGGGGGGGGGAGTTGACAAAAGTGCACAGCAAAATTCTCTTCTCAAAATGACTATTGCATAAAATCTAATAAAAAGATCAATTGATTACATTAATAATCATCTCTCAGGGGTGGGGGTTTGTTAAAATCTTCCAATATTATGTCAGCAAGTATCAACGCTAAAAAGGAGATTAAATGATTTTCATAACTCGACGTCTTTGAAGTAGGTGAGGGGGGGGGAAGGGGGTGGTAAAAATT